AATTCAGAAGCTTTCTGTACTGGTAAAGTACTAGCAAATTTACTGCAACGACTCTTCCAGAAGTAATCTCTCATGGTTTCCCTTAAAAGGAATTGAGACATTCCTTTTACCCTTATCATAAATCAGCATGGGAACCACAGAGCATGAGTAGATAAAGGGAGAAATACTTCAGACTGAAATGATACACTCAAACGACTCAGATTAAAAAAAAAAACTTTCCAAGAATAGGCAACAACATAAATATCTCTGAAGACATATATGATTTTTTTTAGAATGCTACAATGGACAAAAATCTCTTTCCAAGCTGCAAAACAGCAAAGAGAATTTGAACAGCAAAATCTTTTCCCTTAAGAGTTTCCAAACCACTAACATTTTGAATATCAACATTCTTCTTATAGCAGCTGATTCCTCCACAGCTTCTAAAAGTTCAATCAACTGCAGCAACAAAATTCTGTCACTTTTATAGGAAGAAATGCAAGAGATACTTGAAAGTACTAGCAATGCCATATTTTGGGGAAAGTGTTTATTAATACAAGCTTCTAATAACAGATAAGGGTAAAACAAGGACTTGCAGTACTGTAATATGCTTGTTACTGTCAAGGGACAAAATTCAACACGAAATATTTTTTAAACAGATAGTAAACTTTATGTTGCTTGTTTTTTAATCAATTTTCCTTTTTCTACATACAGAACATCCAACTTGACAGAATTCTATCTGATTCAGACTTGCCAAGACAGCCATGGTTCACTTCAGATCATGGAAATACCTCTCCAGTAACTCATAAAATATTCTACTGATACAAATCTGACTGATATCTTATCTGATGATCAAGACTAATCAGCTCACATATGTTTCAAAGCTTCCAAACACAAAACCAAGTGTATTTTCACAGCAGTACCAACAAAACCAATGATGTTGAGAAGCACACAATTAAGGACTTAAAAATACATGACAACATGGTCAAGAGTTTCAGTGGGAATGGGGCTGAGACCAACACTCATATCCAATTTAATTGTTTGATAATTTAAGAGTGCTACTGGGGTGGAGGGAGAGAAAAATAGATGATAATTTCATAATCAGAAATGAGTCTTTTCTTATCAGAAAAAAGTTGCTTCTGAGCAACTTCATCACTGCCCTGAAATCTGGCTACTGTGGGGACTGTTGAAAGTACTCTATGTGAAAGAATATGAAGAAAGCTTTTCTTCATATAATTTCATGTACATACTTAATATTATATTAAACACTTCTCTAGTTCTATACATTCACAATATGTATAACTATATAGTAAGTAAGAGTATACAATTACTACATTATGCTATATCATATGTGCATTTTCTACGTGGTTTGGAATCCTTCTATCGAGTTCTAACAGAAATTCCAACCCTATTATAAGTCTACTTTCAAACACTGCATGTGGTTTTTTTGTTGACTTTTTACAGTATTGTTTCCAGCAGGGCAAACCTGGCAAGTTCACAGGAACACACGTTCAGGATTGTGTCTAAGCTACTATGAATACTGCTACTCGTTGCCAATCAGATTAACTTTTTACTGTGATGTTACTGGCAAACACTGCTTACAAAGCTTAGGTAACTCAATTCATTTCAAACACTGCTTGAAATGGGAAAAGTAATTGGACAACAAAACCATGAAACTAGCCCTTCAGAGTACTCCAACTCTTCAGAGTACTATCAAAATATAATAAACAAAAGAAAATTTCCTCTTTGCTTCAGTAGTATCTCCTATATAACTGACAGTAATATATTCAAGGTAGGCACATTCTTTTATTTGGAATTGTTTCCACTTATTTAATTCCACTAATTTAATTCTATAATTAAAACTCTTCACATGTACACACAATTGCTGTAGCATCTACAGGCAGAGTAGTATCTTGGAAGGAACCTCAGGATATTACATTATATTTATTAGAAAATATTTGAAAATTTTCTATATCAGAGTTTGTTTCCTTTTAAAAAACAAACATTCTGGGATCTAGCCTAGTTAGAAAACTAGGACATTTCTGGGGAAAACCAGGTGTTATATACAGCAGATGCTACATAACACCCTCGGAGGAAAAAAGGGAGTTTTTCTGGAATAGCAAAAACACTGTCTCCAGTGATCCTCAAAGTTTTGAGAATCAGGTTAAAGCAACAAGCAGATCTTTAACCAGCTATGTGAGATAGAAGACTACCTTAATAAAACCACAACAGAAGCTAAGCCTTTACCACTTAATTCCCTGAAGGCAAATTTCCTAACTAACAAACAAACAGTAGCAAATTTGGTTTTAAGTACTAAATTTTTAGATACAGCAGCTTTTTACCCACGAGCCTTTTTTTCCTCAACCCTCCTGCAGAAATGTTCAAGCTACAATATGAAGAAGCATCACTTACCAACGCAAGAAAGGCTGCACCTAGTCAAACTGAAAGATGCATTTTGCCCTGCTTCCAGCAGTTACCAAAAGGAAACTTACCGGGAAGAATAAAGACAGAGTAAGCATGCAGGGATCCTTGCCTAGGATGTTCTCCAACTGTTTGCAACTCTGGAATTTCATAGGTCACACAGTGGGCAAATTCATGGAAGAAGATTCCGAGATGATGAGATATTCACCTCAAAGCTAAGGCTTTCACCTGCAAGAGGCTCTGCAGTTTCATGCTGCATGAAGAACTATCTCCTTTTATATTAAGTCTGCCAGGTGTCACTGATACCCTTTAGAAAAGTTTAATAGAAATCAGCTTTTCACTGTTACTTAGCCTCTATCATATCTAACTTCAGCCATTTCTTTTCCAGCTCAATCTGGTTGTTCTTTAGATAGAACCTTCTAACACCTTTGATCCTTCTCCAAATTTTTAATACTTGAATTTTGTAGTACGCTTTTGACATAAGCAAACCAGACCTGCAGACTGCATTCAAGTTGCAAGGTATCTACACAATGACATTACATTCTCTGCTCTTATTAGTTTCCGAATAATTGCTAAAATCCAATTTCCTTTACAACTTATTGATTATACCAACATCACATCCAAGCAGAAGTCACAACTCACACTCCATCACTGCATATTCAGAGTTGGGATTTCTCCCTGTCTAACCCCCATGCACACTACTTCTGCATAATCTATTTGCTCTTGCTTTGTTGCTCAATCACTCAAATCTCTTACCATGTGCTACAGACAGCACTTGCCTTTGTTACAGACATAGTATCAGCATACTGTGCCACCTCCTTATTCAGATGTTTTGGAATACATGTAAATAATAAGAGACATTTTTGTTTCTATGTAAGAGTGCAGACACAGGTCAGATCAAAGTCAAAAAAACAGAGAATGCAGTAGACTGATTTGGCTATTATTTTATGACTAAAATTTAAGTAATTAGGATTCAATTCTGTACAAAGCTAACAAATCTGCACATCTGAAACCCTATCAAGTTCATTCCTCAGAAATAAAATGGAATTTTATTCACTTACCAGCTAGGCTAAATACCAAACCTATTACAAATTAAAACAGCGTGCCCTATCCATATTGTATTTAGTCCATCAAGTTTCTTGTCACATCTAAAGACCTCAGAACTATTGCATGAACTTATTTAAATTCTTAGGTGTTAACAGAAGGGCATATGCCTTTTTTTCAAGAATGAAAAACAGTTTAGACTTCCCAGTAAGCGCAGTATAAAACAGCTAAACTCCTAAAATTAAAGGGATACTTATTAATAAAGGCAGATTTAAAATTGCTTCCAGGTATTTTAAAAGGTCCTGAAGATAGAACTCATACTCCCTCTATATAGCTATAAGAGCCTACAGCAATTAGTTACTGAAGGGACAGGTAAAATTACTGAATAAATAAAACAGAATCCAAGAATGAAGCGTGGTACACAGTTCTAGACTGTGGAAGAGAGAAAGAATATATCAATCAAAAAAAATCCATTTTTCACATAGTGCCCAGTAGCAGCACTATGCAGCACATAAAAAGGGAAAAAACCTAGGGGGCATGAAATTTAAAGTGGAATGACAAAAACAGAAAAATCCTCAAATACTGTGATTAAGAATGAAGAATAATATTTTTCCAAAGTTGTTTTATCCCTTTGTTACAAGGGTAGAATATGAAGCTTCCGGACAAAGACATTTGTGAGTTATTTTTCCTTCTCCCCAATCTGTTCCAGTGCAAACAGTACTTCAACACAATGAGAACTTAGTAACATCATTCACTATCAGTCCTGCTCAACTACATCAAGGCTGTGTTGGGCCAAGACCAAGGCAGTACGCAACAGCATGTAATATCTAAGTCTCAGTTGCAGAATCAGATCAACGCTTATCTACTGGTTTAAAATTGGGCTCAACGCCACACTGAGGGGGAAGGAAGAAAAGACAACTTCAATAAAGTTTTTGTCTTTCAAGAGTTTAACAAACACAGATCAGCTAGAATTCATCTATACACACATATGTGTATTTATTTATTTATAAATGTATGCATATGTAGGCTATAGTTTTATTTTTAACTTGCTCTTTATTATACTGTTTAACAAGCAATTTGCAGAAGGTCAGGCTTAGACAAAATTTCATTTGCTGCCAATATATCAGAACTGGGGTAAGTACATCCAATCAATGCAACAGATCAGCTGTCAACTACTGCTACCTCACCAAGGTAAGGGCATGTTTCGCAATTTAGAAATTGAGTTAGAGTCCTGGATTTCATCCATACTAGAATTCTTTCTACTGCTTCCCCCACTGCAATTGCATTTGGTATATGTGGCAAATATTCCTTTAATTATCTGATTCAGCTTTGACAAACAAGTTCTCTCTGTAAGTTGAGTACAGGCTAGCTGTCCCTACTCAGCAAAAATCGCTTGTAGTCCAAACAAGTTCTGTATGTGCTTTAAAACAACTGAACACTTAACTTTAAAACTCCTTTTTTAACGTTAAAACTCCTTAACTTAGCTTCTGATCAAGCTGATCAGCTGATCAAGCTCCTATAACAGCTACAACTGACAAAGTCATATGGGAAAGACATACCACGCCATCTGCAATCTTCCAGTCTGCACAACTTTCATATTTTTGCAGTTGCTTTTCAAACAGTTGTGCTATGGCTCGATGGACAAGTTCATACTGCTCCTGTAATACATTACCGGATAAAAATTAGTGCATGAGATCTTTACAAAGAATGACAGTATATTAACGTATGTTAAAGATTAATTTAAAAACAAACTATACCTTTGTCTGCACTGCAGAATGCCTTTGTGTCCTCATTTCCTGTATTAAATTAAATACATTGAATTCTTCAGGTATTTTCTGAAATATAGAAGGAAGTGTATTATATTGACATAACTGTTTGTCAGAACAGCAATACAAAAGCTGTTAGACATCCAAAAGTACAACATTTGTAGGTAAAGTCAATCTGTTCTCTCCACACTGTAGCTATTCAGTTTTTTGTTTTAAAAAAGCAATTCCTCTCCAGAACTGGTCTTAAACATTTGATTTAGACTAGATGAGACCACTTCGATTATTTCAAAAATGAGACATTCAATAAAGGCATTAATATGACACTGTAACATTAATGATGCTCCATAACCTAAAAAACCCAGAATGAAGTTATCCATGTATATCTGAAATATGAGGCTTTAGGAGCTGCAAGATTAAGCAGAGACATTTAAAAAGCTCAATTCAAAATCACTTAATATTGAAACGTATTAAAAAAATTTAGAATTTCAGTGACTTTTTTTAGATAAAAACTTGCCATCAAAAGAAAGTCAGTCCATACTAAAGCATGAATGCAATGAAACTAAACATCCAACCTGTCAAAAGAGTTCCAGAACATCTTAATCATCTCACTATTTTAGAATATTTAGGAGCTCAATCAATCACTGTTATGAAATGACAGAAAGCCACGAAATTTCTTCTTTTAAGATTCCTTACCCCAGCTTTAAGCAAATTCCATGTATAATCTATGGCACAGATGGCTCCTGTTCTTCCACATCCTGCACTATGAACATAAACAGTTGGGTGTGTTAGAAATTATTTTAATTTGTTAAAAACACACTATAACTTTTATATTTCCAGAGTCCACATGGAAAAAGAAAATAAAAATCCCTCAACTATCATTTTAAGATCACTAAACCTGGCACTATAGCATCTTAAAAATAAAAAAATTATCAGTGTAAAGTGCAAAATGGATCTCTGAAGTTTGTAATGCAAGTTTCTCCATAGCCAACTGGAACTGCAATCATGAAAGATGATTTAATGCTGACATCTTTACTGCTTATTGTCACACTGTGACTAGTTACCACTGCTTCAACAGTAGGGCTTTTGTTGAAGTTTAGTGATAGATCTGTTATATGGCAAAACAGGATATGTTTAAAGACTTCCCACCTTCTTCTGATTTAGTATTATATCTGTATTTTCTGCTTTTTATCTAGAGAATTTAAATGTGAAAGTTATAAAAAAAAATGACAGTGAAGTATCACATTTCTTCTTCCTAATAGTATGAATTTCTCTATTTTACACATAGAGTTATAATGCATGCATATATATTAAATTTATATTGTAAATAACCAACCCTCACAACTGTATTGACATTCAAGAGAAACAGGACAAAGTAAAATGGATTTCAGTGCTACATAAATTTTTTATGGTTTAAATCTCAGTTATTTAGAGTAACAAGTTAAAAAAGAATGCAGCTAAGACAGTAGATTTCTATACACTTTGAGAATAACCAAGCTCTAAAAAGTTAATGAGCCCCAACCTCCTGGTTTATGATTCTGAATTCAGCTTTTATGACATATAAATCATTAACCTTTGTTGCTTTAAACAGTGTCAAGTATCATAGGCAAGAACTTTTCAGAGAAATTGTCAGAAACGATTAATTCACCAAAACATTTTAATGGCAGTTTAGTTTCACCAGACCTTCTGTTAGCCAAATTTCAGATCAAAGATGAAACTGCTGCTCAGAAGCAAAGACTTACCAACTGGAAACTACAGCCTGCTCATGAGAGATCTTTTTTGTCGTATTAGAAGACAGACAGAAAAGTTTTTGGGTAGGGATGTACCTGCTATGTAGTCTCTCCTATTGAGAATGGAGCTTTCCCCCCATATGATCTTCAAAGTCTATTTTGTGCTAATGATGATTTAAATGTCTTAAGAACCACAAAACTGTTTCCTTTTCAAAGACTAATTCTTTTCTGATTGATATTCTGTCTTAAACTGAAATAAAAGCAAAATTTCACTATGGCATGAGTGTTAAGACAATGAAGACTGTTGATTTTGAGTCAAGTTTTGATATGACAATATATTCCTTTTAAGAAAACTTAAATTCTGATTTAGAATCAAACTAATGCATCTCATACCAGAAGTCTATACTTAAAAAAAAAAACAAAAACAAAAAACCCCATGTTTATAAACTTGAAAAATAAATATATTTGATACCTGCAGTGTATGCAAATTGGTACATCTTCATGTTCCTGGTATTCTCTCATCAAGCTGATCATGTCCAGAATAGAATCAAAAGATGAAGGGACATCATGGTCAGGCCAGTTAACATAATGAAATTGATAGACACTACGAGTCTCCTGAGGGAGAGAGAGGGAGGAAGGTGTTAGTGATAATACATATTTGAGGAGTTTGTATGAAAAGTAGTTCTCCGAACCTTCACTTTTTGTATGATTAAACATGGACAAGCAAAGCCATTTACTGTATTAAAAAAACCCTGCAGCTTATACTACTTATTAAACCAAAAAGGAAATTCTGAAGCTGTATTTTGAGTGCTGCTAATTCATAGGAGAAAGCACTATGAGACACTTCACAGAAGCTCCTCTCTATAATATAGGGGTTGAAGGACCCACAACATTGCACTGTGTTAAAAGATTCTCTGTCCTTACAGTCTTAAACCTTGAAAGGGAGAAAGGAAAGGAAAGCCCACCATTAAAGGTGGTTCTTCCAATTGTACTCCAGTAATTTACATTGGAAAAAAACATCAGGGGGTGTGTGGGTAGGTAGGTGTTTGTTTTGTCACATTACAAAATAAAGTTTGTGTGTGCATGTGCACATGAATGCAGATGGAAATTAAGAAAGCGAGAGAAATAATTCAGGATCTCTCTAAATATGAATTACACTTGCAACAACAATAAGTAAACTTCTCTTCTAGTTACCTCACATTACAATAGTACTAAACACAAGGTAAGAAGCAGGCTTTAGAACCGCCTAGTTACCCCACTACCTCAATCCCTCAAAGACCAAAACCTCTTTCTCCTCATCATCCAAACCATCCACAGTATAGATAGTTCCACTGCACCCTTCCATACTGTTGTCACACCTCTGGATTCTAGGATACCCTCAAAGTCATGTACTAGAGAGGCGTGGGAATTTTTTGATCAATGTTACAGGTTACAAGTTTCAAGACCTATGCTATCTTCTGTTTAGTTATTTGAAAAGCAACATAGTGGGCTTCTTGAACAAGGAAATTTGTATTGTCTTCCAACTGAAGCAACTATTTTTGACGTTTGGCTTTTGCCAGCCCCGTGGAAGCGCCATAGCTACTAAAACCAAGAGAAAATCCAGCTTAAGAAATGAAATTTTAAAAATCCAACTTATTATGTAAAATCAATGTCATCAGTAAGGAAGAAGAAAAGTTACAGCTGCCTATTAAGGTCCACCAAGAACTTTCACTTAATTACATTTAAAAAGACAAAGCCAGTGATTTCTCACATTAGCAGAACTGTCAGGGAAAAAAAATTCCAAAATTTATTCTTTTCATATGGAAATTAAAAATGAAAAGGAACCTTCACAGTCCTCTTTTTACTGCCACTTTTTAAGAAAGAACCTGGTGTTTTAGCTTAAAGTGTTCTTCAAATTTCAAACTGGTCTTCCTCCTAAAAATTAGAATAGCTGTGCATATTTACATGAATTTTAATTTCTTTTGCATAGTATTTTGTACAATACTCCCTTGAAAATTTTACATAAATGACAAAATTTTCATTATTCTTGAAAATCAGAAACTAAACTTAAATGGGTATTACTTTATACCACAAATACATATTTTCCTCCCCAGTTCAAACCTACACTTAGAGTTCTTTAAAGTAAGATGAAAAGTCAGTAATTCATCACCAAAATGTGTGCTCAGAGAAATACTGAAGCAAATTTGCCAGGTAAATCTGAAGAAAGATCATTTTATCAATTGCCTAGATTTGAGTATCAACATATCTTGTTAATCCTTTCACTTACATTACTCCTTAAAGGAATGTAAACTTCGAGCTCTTTACTAAAATCAAAAGTACAGTGCGAACTGTAGCTTTTTGTTACTACTTATTTTTTATGTAGTACACAGGCATCCTGTAAAAATTAACTGGAACAGAATGCATGAAAGTCAACTAGCTAAACATGATTCACATGTATAGTATATGCAAACAGAATATAAATTAGTTACAGTTTCTGAAGTAACCAGTTCCCATGATATTCAGGTATTAACAGTATTGCTTTGGAGTTTTTGATATCTTTTCAGTTTTAAGTGCACCAAAAAATGCTGCAAACCCCACAGTTATTATGCAGTTAATTTCTCAAATCTAAAGTTTCATAGCACACTCAGTTAGGAGCACTCAGGACACACTAACAGAAATGGACTGATTAAGTTCATGTATACCACCCAAGCACCTACCAAGCTACTGCAGACAAAAATTAGCCCCCTCATGACTAAAGTTTTCATAGCTGCTGTGATATCAGTTGTTCAAATGGAACAGAGCATTGCTAAAGAAAACATAACCGTAAGTGAGACTAACCTGTAATAAATAATTTCTTAATACAGGATGACAACTAAAATGACAGGTATTCTGTAAAACAGACTGTCAGCCTTCAAGTTTTTGCAGGACAGCTCCATGCATTTTTATTTACTGACAGTTGCTTTTCAGAAAACTACACAGTCACCTCAAATCTGATGCTTAAGTTTGCAAGAAAGGCTTAAATCATTCATCCTTAACACTTATATGAGACTGCAAGTGCTTTTATTTCATGGAAAATATGACAATTTTCACAACTAACATAACATACTTTGCTTATGAAGTAAGTCTTATGTTCTACAGTAGTTTGTGTCATTAGTTTTCACGAAGATGAATAAACTTATTTTATTCTATAAGGAGACTAATTGTAATCATTTACAGTTGCCGACTTACCAAATAGTGTAAATGAATTTGTTTACCAGAACACTTGTCTGGTAAGCCAATTCTATATCTTCAACACTAGAGTATCAAATCTTCAAGAATTCCAAAGTCTTGAGCTCACTTTTAAAAGTACATTTTGATCTTGACCATTGAATATTTTACATAAATTCCCCCCATGCAGAAGTTCTCCAACCAAGAGACAATGCAATTAAATTTAATCAAGAACATTCCATATTTTTCATATTTCAATTCCAAAAGAATAACCTCTTACAAGCTTGAGTGAGAAACTTTAGGAAAAAAAATAAATCACTAAGTTGTTGTCATTCTTGCTTTATTTTTATTTGGCAATACAAATAATATTAACGGGCATCAGAAATATCTTTTAACATTGTAAAACCCAAAAGTAACAAGTATACATACTTCACCCAAAAAGAAGTTAAACAGACGAAATTGGGGTTTTGACAAGTTTGGTTCAGTTTTTCATTGTATGTTCAGTTGGGGTAGACAGTGAAATTCTCCTAGGGTGACAGAAGCTTTCTAGTTGTTAACACATGCTATTGAAGACCATCACACACCTTTGGCTAACCAAGAACATACATAAAAGACAAATGAAGAGTTTCACTACTCTTTTCTTATATACTAAGCTTAACATCACTTCTAAACTTGATCTACATACATACAGAGTCAGCACCTAAAAAAGTGAAGATATTTTCATGAGTATCCTCCACTGTATCATTTTAGAGACCTTTGAGCAACCATTGAAGCTGAGATCAGAAGTGAACATATACTTACATTCTGAAATTCAAGTAATAATGTTCTAATGAAGTAATCTGTTCTTGCTTGCTCAGCTTCCTAAATATGAGAAAACAGTAGTAAGTTGGAAAAAGAGATCAATATGCAGAAAACAGGATATAACTGATAACCCAACCTTTAAACTCAAGTGTCTTTTTTTTTTATTTACTGATATTGTATCTATGATTTCCCTAAAAGATGAGCAATCAAAATATTCATTTTAGAACAGCAGCAACTTAGCTTGCTACACAAGGTATCTGTGAAAGGTGTTACTTCTATCTAAAATTAAAATGTTTTTCCAAACCAATGTGTCTAGCCTGCTCCTGAAATCAATGAACCTTGTGAGAGTATTTCAAAGTAATACTTCTTTATTTCTCCACACATTTATTTTACAGATTGCCTCCCACAGCCATGCTTCTATAACAGTTCTGCTGTATAAATTTCAGCCTCTTACCACACTATCATGTGACATCATCTTTCATTTTTTTCCCCTTCTATTATTTTCAACTAAGTGTGCATCTGAATATATCACTGTAATTATCTTGTTCGTAGCCAAAAAGCACAGCATCTAGGCTCCCAGGATTTTCAAATCTGCCTTTGGAACATCAAGGGAAGTTTGTACTGTACACACCAAACAATACTAATGTACTTAAATTATCAGTAATATCACAATTTGAAGATGCCTTTAAAAGCTTAACATTACAGCTTCCCACAGTGCATTTAAGAGACTGCATATATACTTTAATGTGTTCCTATCTGCTACTGGGAATTTACCATTTTCCATCAAGAAAACAATCATGATGCCTTGCAGGTTTATAGAAAATAGTAGGTAGCTAGCAGCAATGGAGCCCATATTTAGCATTGTACCCACAGGTACTACATTCTCAGCTGTATCTGAGACATCAACAACGAGGTACACACAACCTCTTTTCACAGATACCTGTCAGGTATGTGACCATCACCCACTAGGTACAGGGCAAAAAAAAACAAACACAAAATAACCTCAAACCGACAATTTTTACGTCGATTTACTGTAGGAAAAGGTTACTCAATCTTTATAGACTAATATTTCTAAGTATATGCTTTCCTGAGAAGATGAACTTGAAGTGTACTTAATTCTTGCTAGACTATTTCAAAGTAGGATTAAGAACAGCTCGATAAACTGGCATGCTAGCTTTATCTGAACAACTTAAAGCACTTCAGTTAGAAAATAGCAATTCCTGTCCAAACCCACATAATTTTGAGTGAAGGAAAAGAAAAAGCCAGTTTTGAGATCAATTTGGAATGGATCACTTCCACTGTTTTAGAGTAAGTGAACAGGTACAGCTGAATTTACAGAACATAAACTCCAGTGTAAAAAGTTCACAGTAAGATCATTTATACTGATGATGGTTATACTCAACACTAACGCCAGGTTTCATTCACATCCTAGTACTAACTAACAGAACATAATAGAACCTGATTAAACTACCAGGTGGTAAGATTAAAAATAAAGACACAAGGAAGTGTTTTCTTCCAACAACACAATGATGTGAATTAAAGTGAAAAAAAAAAAAAAAAAACAAAACCCAAACAAAAAAAAGTTTGGCAAATTCATCATTCACTGCATTGTAAAACTATTGATAAACCAGGGGCAACACCCAATTAATGAAGTCCTGCTAGTTCATCACTAGAAGCCAACAAAAAAGAAAAGGATCATCCTATATGTGTCTTACTTTCTATTCTCCTCCCTTAAGCAATTAGGCTGTCATTGAACACAATGTGATAGCCTAGAAGGCCCTTGGTGTCACCTACAAGTGAAGGCTATATGATCACAACTTCAAGAGCTAAAAGTCAGACAAACAGGCCAAAAATGTGTTTAAAGCAGGAAGGACTAAAGAGACATGAACAGGTGTGTACAAAGGCAACGAGATATTATTACACATAAAGCAAGCTGACCATACTGATTTTAGTTGCTATGCTCCCACACACCATATCCTCACTCATGCCCTGAAAACCTCACAGTTAAAGTGAATTTCTGATATGTGAGTGCTACCCTTTTGTGAAATGGTAATTACACCATAACGTCTTTTACTAACTAGCTTTCTCTACCAATGGAAAGGTTATTGCAAAAACCCGTTGGGGTTTACACTTGTGCAATGCTGAGATGACAGGTGCCATGGAATGATTACTTTCAATTCCCTACGGTGCTTGGTGGAAGAGATACCCACAGTCCCTCTTCCTGCCTATTAATCTACCAGAAATCCTTATGTTACCACTTATGAGCAAGTATCAAAACTGGAAGAGGGTCAAATAGTTATGCTCAGAGATTAGAACTCCTGGTAATGCTGACACAACATGCAATCAAAACTTTCAGGTTTCCTCCATATTTCTGGAATCATAGCTTACTTAACAGTTACCCCTCAGGAATCATCCAGGAAAAGAACCATCTCATGGTGATCTGCTACTCATTTTTTGTTTTTATTTTAAAAGCAACAGTTGAAAAGAAGCAAAGGAATTATTTTCAAATAAACCTGTAGCTGTTACCAACAGAAACAAGTTTAAAAAAAAATTATGAGTTTAGTTTGAATTTTCTTTATTTATGGTAATTAACTTTATGTTGCTTAAAGAATATAACCTATTCCAGTGTCACTTTCATTTCTCATGCATATCCAGAACACACAAGTCATAAGGGAGAGAAACAACTGCACTAATATCTGATTCCTTGAGTATGGTACAGACATTCAAAACTACATCATGCAAAGCTAAAGAAATGATACATAAAAAGATACAAGACCAAAGCACACAGGTTCTGCACTAAAAAAAAAAAAAAAAAAAAGAAAAAAGAAAAAAAAAAATCACGGAGGATTCAAAAACCCCCATAGCTTAGATACATACGATGTTTTCCGCTGCATTCTTTTGAGAGTCTTTGTGTAATATCTGGTACCAAACAATTAAAGAAGCATTTGTTTTGTATTACAAACTGTTTGTTGAACAGTTAAGTTACAGAAGCATTAAATCCTTCCGAATTAATTTATAAAGCTTTATACTTACACAAGAAACACGAAATGGTCCAAATGTTACAGCTGCTTCTCCATACAGAGGCCAGTAACGTTCACATTTTTTCTGTTAATGCAAAAATTCCTAATTTAATTCATGTGTAGTACTGAAAGAGGATGATGATTAACAGAAGTGGAACAGGCAAAATGATAATCCCAAATGCCTTATTCTCTCTCTTATTTGGTGCTCTTCCTTAACATCTGCCCACTGGTGCCTTGCTGGACTTCTTTTAAGATAGCAAAATATATTTTCTTTTGGATACCAAAAGAAAAGCAAAACCAAAAACCCAGATGACCAAAAAATACAGCCAAAAGACACTTTGTAAATTAGGACATGAACTTCATGACTGTCTATAAATGTGCAAGCATGAGTCATACAGAGGGAAGAGATGAGAGCTCATTTAGTTTTTGTGAAAGTTTGGAGTTTGCAATACTGGCTCACATTTTCTTGCCTTCTTGGGTCATAAGAAAATAGCAGAGAGATTTAAAAGACAAACTGTATTTGCAGCTGTATCAATTGACAGGAAATTCTGAAGGACTCAGGATTCTGATAGTTGGCCTACATCCCACAAAGAGCAACATTTTTTTCCATAGTGCTATGACCAAAACCAGACCATTGGTACAGTTCTCTATACAAACATGTATATTCCACTGAAATGACACCTAAATAATAATGTAACACCATAAATGGAGCAAAGAAAAGCAGTCACATTCACTATTTTCTATGCATACAAATATAAGGATAAGTATTCTCATTCAAACTGGCAGATTATTTTTACAGTTAGACTTAGCATATGAATCTTCATAGGTATTGGCATATTGCCCCACGTGGGCAATGCTCATTTAGTTTTGGATTTAGTATACATACCCTTCCCATTTCAAATTCTCGACAGGCCATTACAATTATCTGAAAAGAATAAAAGACACTGGAAGTTAGCTGGTTTTAGATCAAGTAAATTCACGAACACTTTACCACTTGCTTCTGGCTGGGCAGATACTGATACTCCTTAACTGGTTACTACTGAAGAGACAAATTAATACTGTTTTCCTACCTGTAGGTGCATGCTCTTTTAATTCTAAAATAATACCCAAGTTTTATCCATAAACCAACCTACAACACTAGTACAACACTGTAAAACTACTTAATCTGAATTCACTGTAATCCTGTACAAAGACCTTATTTATTACAGTCAGGCTGAATAACAGTCTAAACAATTATAAAAATATAGAACCACTTTCCAGCTGAAAGAAACATCACTGTACTTGCTTAAAATTACATAGACTGCTTAAAATAGGTGCAAAAGCTTATTTAAAAAACAAGAATCAGATTTCTTAGGTGAAGCTATTTCAGATCATTTAATGTGAACAGCACAATAAAAATGCACCAACAGGTAAGCTATTTGTTACAAGTAACCATGATTTAAGTGTCTGATAAAACAAAAAAATATTTTCAGAAATAATTTGTTGAACATACCCAATTTTAAAAGTACTTAAAGGTTAAGTCCTGATAATACCTGCTTAAACAGATGTATAATATATAAACCAATAAGCAACCCAAAACTAGCATAAATAGAAAGGCAGGGATTTATTTTTTCTTTTGTTTCACATGCTGCTTCTGGTTTTGATTCTGTCAGTCTACATTAACTCAGAGTTTTAAGGTCTCCTACAGGACAGCTAAAACCAAGCACCAACCTATTCATAAGTATACATGATTTCATACTCATTCAATAAAATTGTTACTTTGAATTTACCTTATTAAATATAATAAATAAAATTAATTATATCTAGAATGCTATTTAAACTACAAAAACAAGATTTGAGAAGTAAATGGATTAAATCACTACCAACATTTTTTTATACTAATAGAAGGCAAAAGATACACAATTACTATATAATGAAATAAGGTAATACCCAATTTTGGTTTTTAAGTAGGTACTTACGGCAACATTGTATTCCCATATCATCCTCCAGAAGTCTATTACTGTATTTGCTAATGGTCCCTGGGTAGCAACATATGCTTTTGGCCCATGTACTCCCTAGGATTGCACAAAGGAACCATTAAAGTTTATAAAGGAAGTTTATTTGCACTGAATAAGAAAAGGCTTTAGGTTATTATCATGTAACAATTAGAATATCTTCTTTTTTGGGGATAAAACAGGAAGAGTGAATATTAAATGAGTCCCATTTACATTAGTGGGAATTCTGCTGGTGATTTCAAGGGGGACAAAGACTATAACTGCTACTGTGCTGCTAGAGATTAACAGAAAACATTAAGTTTCTGTATGTTTAGATTCTGAAGATTCCCTTTAAGTCCATATTTTTTTTGCTACTCAAACATGTAATGATGAAAATCTAGAAGTTTTTCTGCTTAAAAGCATCCCCTTGAACAAATTTAAGTTCTACCCTGCCAGTAACACCACATTTCAAAAATCCAAACTTTTAAAGTTTATTTTATATAAAGGTTGAAGACATTTACATTTACCTTTTCAGGCTAAACATTCAAGAAGTGAGATTTATAGGAACACCTGCTTCTGAATAAGCATTACTGTGTAGAAACAGCATCAGAATAAGGCTACAAGGAAAGCCCAAGATATTCACACTTTGAAATAAAAGGTTAACAGACTTTCAGCCAAATTCTGGCTTCTCTTTAAGAATGTTAGCTATAATTCCATTGCCACACTTCCGCCATGAACAGCAAGAAGTGCATATTAACTTATAAAATTTGTCAAATGCCTGTTTAATGATCCTTAAAATAGCCTCTCTTACAATCTGGTATTTTTAACACTATAAAAATGTTAAAACAGTCATGTCTGAATTTGCCGGTGGTATAAAGTTCCAATTTGGTTGCTTGCCACTTTTTATATTACACTTAGAGTAATATTAAAACTTAAAACTTACAAAATTTTTTACAAATGGCATCATGTTTGCAAATTTAATCAAGACGTAATAGAAGAAAATCTTCCCTCATAGCTTTAAACTCTTATCTCTAATATTAAAACTGCACTGATATGAAATAAAAGCTTAAAAATAATTTAAGAACTGTTAAGACGGTAATACATACCTTAATAAAGTTTGCATTGATGTAGTCTGAATCTTGTGGGGGAGTTTTTAAGGTCAATTTAACCCGGCTATGATCAACTAAAAGAAGAATTGATTTTTGTTAACAAGAACTACAAAACTTTTAAATCGATATGTAACAGTAAACATAATACATATAGTACATATTATAAGTAGAGAAGAAATTAAGTATCAAAGAATGCTTCCCAAAGATAAGGCATGCAAGCAAGCCAGCCAGCTAATTTCATTTATAGGTGAACCAACTCAGGTAGGGATAAGCAGAGTAGCTCCTACTGCTATCTGCTTCTGATGCTCAAGTTCACAGAGTAACAGTTACTGGAATTCCAAGAGAAACTCATTACAGAGAGTTAAAACTCAAATGATCAGCAGTAATCAAAATTGTAGTTACACAGTACTGACAGAGATCATGATGGTCAGAATTAAAGGCACATTTGCAGAAAGCAGAGAGAATAAAACACCAGTGCATAGTTAAAGCAGCCAGCAGGTCTTAAAGTCTCTGCCATGGAGGACCCCAAGTATTACAACATGAAGTATGCACTGGGGTTTATTGCTCAGGCACAGACTGACTTCTAACCCCAAAAAACTGGGCTGGGAACTTTGCTGGGGCACTTCTAAACTAGAAGCAGTAGATTCCTTTATTTAGGGGGTTTTGACATTTCAAGTTTCTGCCTCAAGCATTACTGACTGTCTCAGAGAAAGCTTCTTAAGAAAACAGATCTTTGGAGACCAAAATGCTTAGCAGTCTTAAAAATAGCCTTTATTACTTGTTGACAGAATAAACTAAACATCTTGGAATTCTTTTTGGCGTTGAAAAAAAGTGCATCTTTAATACAAAAGCAACTTCATTATTCCTATTTAGAAGGAGGGTAGGTGGTTGGCAGGTTCACGAGTCCTTCCAGCTGTTATTGATACCAATACTTCCTAGCTATCACATAAAATTCATTCAAACTATCTTTACACTAGAGGCTGTTTTAGTTGAAAATCCAGAATTAAAAAAAACAAAATTATCTTCAAGCTGGGGAACAGAAGTATCTGCAGAAAGAGCAACTGCTCAAGCAATTTCTGTTACTTTCTGTTCCCAGGGTCAATTCCTCAACCACAGAACAACTGCTAAAACTTTTCCTAAATTCAAGAAAAAACATAAAGAACGGGTCTATTTAAAAAGAGGGACTATGGTTTGCCTTTTTTTTTTTTTTCCCCCCAAAACATCACTGGCAATAAACTAGGGAACCATGCCCACAAGAAGTACATGCTAAGACCTGTTTCTATACAGAAACAATATCCTTGCTTCCAAGACAGTGAATTTTCTGCCAGAGTCCTGATAACATGCAAAAAATGTTTGTGTTACCATGTAATGCTTCCTAAAGAAGCACAAGTGTAGATTACAAGACATTTAGATCACAGATCTAAAGACAATGCACTCACATAAAGGCCTAGAGAAACCCTTAAAAAATATTACACTCACATATATGTTAAAGCAAGAACACTTTATAAGCATGCAATGGTGCCACAGACTTAATACTAAAAACTACTTTTACGTGGCAGGTCAGACTAATTAAAGTGGTAGGCTAATGAGGGCTTCTATCTTCCCAGCACAGTAGACCCAAAATTCTAGAGTAGTTTCCAAATGTCAACATTTCCAGCCTGACTGCATCTGCCACAGCTCAGCTCTTTCAGAATTTTAGGTCTGGAGTAGAATTCTCCAAGAAAAAATCCACTGCAGGTTCCAGCTTCAGAAGATTTAAGTGCTTGGTTATTTACATATAGCTTAAATGTCAGTTCCCAATTACCAGTTGGTGTCTTCAGGTAACCAGTGAACACCATGTTTCATTTGACTATCATTTAGGATGGCTTTGTAAACTGTAATATCAACATGCAAGCATCTTTTATGCTGAACCCAGTATTGCATTAGTACTGAGGTAGTGATCTCTCTGCTAGCAGTAACAATTTCTGATAAATATACCCCTAATCTCCACTTAAGTCACATTTCTAAGTTCCTTTCTGGATTCATAAAAAATAGGCAAGGTATTAACCCCCTCCCTCCTCCAAACACCTCCTGGCTTTCATTTCTGTCAAGCTGGTCTCCCATCACTTTATTGCTGGAAACTTTGGATGCTTGAAGATACTCTCACTTTAACTGAAAATATATCTTCAACTTTCCTCAATGTCAGCTTTGAGGTTTGCTCATTTTCCCCACTGTGATCTGTGCACCCCTTCAGGTCCCAATGACTCAGGTTTTATTTTTCTGTAGATGAAAGAAAAGCACATCCACCACTCTAGTTGCAGCCATTCAGTACTGTAGTACCTTTTAAGTGTCTCCTTGATTCAGTTTAGGTGCTACCAAGGTTTTGCTATATTGCTCATGATCTACCAAAACACTGGGGGGGGGGGGGGGGGGGGGCAGTGGAGGGAGGGAAGAAAAAAGAGTATAATAACTCTTAATTAAAAGACAACAATAACAACTTCCTCTCTCTTTTTCACTCCATCCATTAAACATGATTCCTCCCAACTAAAAAAAAAAAAAAAAAAAAATCAAAACAAATAGGAAAACCCCAATGATATTTAACTATCTTGCTGCAGTTGAGCTTACTACCACATGTCTCTTCAACATATGATGTATGTTATATTCTCCAGCAAAATATGAACACATGTGCCTTTCCTTCTCATTGCAGCAGCAAGTGCTATGCCCAACTCTTTAAACAATCTAGGGCCTGGGGCTTTAGGGCAAAGTTTACCAATGCTTATTGTGCCAAGCACTGATAAACATTAAAAATACCAGCACTAGAAGACCAGAGCATACAGGTACACAACAATCTGAAACACACAGTAATTCAGTGGAGTTTATCTCTAGAACACATTTTGAAAGTGAAAGCTAATGATGCTTAAGACCATTTTCAACTTCAAATTGGTTATAAACCTCCTAACACTTCTGAGAAAGCTAAGCAAAGTAAAATATATCTGTTGCTAATCCTTGGGATATGAAAAACTGCATTTGTCAGAAGGCTCTGCTTTAATCTCACTGTTGGCTGTTCATATGGAGAAGCACAACAAGAGCTTCTGAAATACATGGCCTCACAAGCTGTGCAAAGTGGGCTTTTAACAGCCAATCTTGTCATTACAGATCACTGATCTCTTTTATCCACACATTGGTGGCTTTAAAATTTAAATTCTGCTCTGACTGTTGCTTCTGTGTTCGTACATTAAATAGAACTTAATTTGGGCTCTAGCAAAGCACAAGCCAAAGGTAATTAAGCACTGAAAGTTCTCTGACACTGTTTGCAGGATACAAGCAATCAAAAAAAAAAACCAAACCCACAAAAAAACCCCCAAAACAAATCAAAAAAAGCCCTATTTTACTTCAACCCACAATACCATGTTCCTTAAGGCTCCTTAAAATTTAATCTAGAGTTTATGCTGACATTTGTTTTCTACCATATACATCATGCTCCTAAGGAAAAAATACAGCTAAGTACCTAATAAAGTTCTAGACTATTCCGAGTGAAGATGAAAGTGTCAGCTTGCTATGGTGTAGGATCTAGGACACATTTTATCTTTAGATGATAGCTCTCCTAATAAGCTATACAATTGTTCACTTATTTTGCCTTCCAAGTTAAAAATAATTTTATGAAAGTTATCTTTTGGCAAATTAACTCAAATTTTGCCTTTCAGTAATAAGTAAATAGTAAAATTCAAAGTACATTAAGAATAACAAGCACTTTTCTTTGTTTTCGATTAGCATGTAATTCAGACTTACATGGCAATATATCTTTGTATCTATTCTTTTTAACATTTTCTTCTTTCTCTCCAGTGGCTGTTGGGTAGATCTTCTCTGTTCTGTATTTTGTTGATAATCTTCTTAATCTCTGAAAAAAAACATTTAAGTTATATTTTCAAGTCTCAACATAACAGAAACATCACAAGGTATCAGATTTATTGATGAAGATCACCACTCAGAAAAACCCCCTCTTCTCTCCTTTTGCAATTTTCACTATGATGAAGTTTAAAATTATCCAGTACTTCTAGCTCATCAGCAGTTTACAACCAAGTTGAAGCCAGCTCTATACATCATGAGACACGGAACTTTGTAAAGGCCACTACAGCACCAGTATGGAACACGGCTATATTTTATTTAGAAAATACATTGCCCTGTTAGGGAGTAACAACTGCATTAAGAATACCGGTGAGAAACAGAAAAAACTGTTACTGTTCAGAATACCTGGAGGAGGAGCAGAGGGCAGGATGGCTCAGGAACAGCAGTTAGCAGCTGGGACTTTGCTCTGAAGCACATGGCTTCCAACACTGACAACTGAACAGAAAGCAAAATCTCACTTTTAACAGGCATCAACTGCTAACACCCAACTCCCGTTGAGTTTCAAGTTCACCCAGAGAAAGAAGGTCCCTGCCTCTCAGGTACAAGGTGTTCGCAATTAGGATGAGTGACAGGAGGGCTGCTGTATTCACAACAATGTGTCATTTTTTTCCCCCCTCCGTCTATTTCACATCCTACAAACTTGAAACAGTCAAAACCTCTAACAAAATTCAGCCCATGCCTTCCAGCAACCTAAAGAAGATCAATACAGCTTTTATCATGCCACTCAAATTAGGCCTTTACAACCTTAAAACTGAGGAGGAAGAAAAAGGTATAAATTCTCTTTTGGGGGAAAAAAAAAATACAAGAGGAACCAGCAGTGCTTGTTATTTTAGACTGTGTAGACATCCAGATTTAAAAAGGAATCTTAAGAACTCAGAAAGTTAACTCTGGCTTCCAGCTAAAGCTAGGTGGTTGCAGCAAAACCAGCCACTCTATTGACACTGACATGGTGGAGGTATGTAAGATGATCAAGAGGAAAACGGAGAACGTTGCTTCAAAGTAGTTTAGTATCTCCACTGAGTGGTACTGGTAGAAGGATAGAAATTGTTCATGTTCGCCTCCCCCCATCTTTAACACTTTATTATCACCCTTGAAGACCCAAAATGTTCATGGCTTGCTTTCTTTTGGAGAAGTGGGACAATGGGGGAGTTTGGTTGCTGGTTAAAATATAAATCTTGTTTATCACTATGCAACAACATACAGGCAGAATGTCATTATAAATACGACAAATTGCTTGGAAAGTCAGTTTTCTTCTCAAGTGCTTCTAAAACTACTACAACATTTGGAAGACTCACTGCACATTTCAATTTTTTAAAAAAGAAAGAAAAATTAATTGGCAACCCAAACCGTCCAATAATTCTTCCAGAAAAAAAAAAAAAAAAAAGAAAAAGAAAAAACACACAGAATTCAGCACTTCTGTTCCATACAGAAATATACTTCCATAAAACTGGATATATGAATAAACAGCAAATTTTATGTGCAAATGTGGATAAAACTTTGCATTAATTTAGTTGAATAATATACATCTAATAATTCATGAAAGTGGCATTTACAGAACAAAAACAATGGCAAGGTAAAAAATAATTAAAAAAAAAAAAATCAAGAAGTACCAGTTTTCAGACAAATTTTTTTTCTCTTCCCCAAATCACTGAACTCTAAAAAGAGTAACAGAACTAGCACGCAGGGGTTTTCTTCTTAAAATGCATTGTTCTTGAAAAACTTGCAATGAAGAAAAAACAGTAAATATTTGAAGGTGGGACAGTAAGTCTCTGACCACACACTGAACCAAGTGCTAAATATATTATCTGAAAACACTGCTACAGTGAAGAATTGGAAGATTCATCTCTCGATAAGCCACGTAAACAGTTACAGGAAGCTTCCATGCAGACTACACTCATCTTTGCAACACTAAAAAAACAATTCTCAACATAATCTGTATGCATAGCAGGCAAAGAAACCCGGTTTGTAACATGGTACAGACATAAATACCATCACTGCATATGGGAGACATATCGTTCTATGTAACACTACCCTTATCTATGTCAAAATAAAAAAATACCACCTGTGCTAAGACTGGACACAACCTGGAATCTAGAAATAGCAAAAAACCACACACATAATTTAGCTATATCAGCTAAGAATTGCAAGACTAAGAAATAGTTTGAAATAGGCTATAAGCCTCCAATTCAGACAAAAAAAGAGCCAAAACCAAAATAATGGTACTTTCCAAAACCAGTCACTAATATGATTTTGTATATTGTTTCGCATCTCAATCCGGTTGTGAGTTTGGGGGCAGGGGTTATATACTTCCATCTTACTGATTTTTATGGGGCAAATGCAATGATTCTGCTAAGAAAATGTAACAGAAAGAAGTTTAGAGAAAAAAATGACCTCTAAAAACCTTAAGTAGAAGCAGAAGTTATTTTGCATGAGAAAGGATACACATGAGGAAGCGATACAGGAAAAAGGTTAGGTATCAGAAAGCACCCTAGGAAGATGATCCTTTCTGCTGTAGCCCATTTTAAAGGCACGCAAGAACAAACATCTTCACACGTACAACTTGGACCTATTGTAAGCCTGGAGTTATTGTAAGGCTGGAGTTTCTAGTACCAACTTTCATTTTCTAGAAAGTGATGCTATGAGAATTCAGCATAGCCTTCTCCCCTGCATGATGCAATCCACTAAAGAGACTGGAATCTAGGACTAGCACAGACCAGCTCAGAGGCAAAGACTGGAAATGAAATACAGGTTGATTTTAACACACATCTGATCCTAAAATACTTTAGGATCCTCACTTTTAATACATGTTTGTCAGCTATTCTGTGACATGGGTAATAGATGATAAGTAAGTACAGTCCTGAGAGCAATCAAAAAAGTAGTACTCTTTATGATTTGTAGTACTATTTGCTACATAGAGTAGTATCTACTTCATTCTTTGGAAAAGAAAAAATTGACTAGAGTAGGAAAAGAATTCTAAAAACTGAGCTTTGAATGAACTACCGCAAGAATGGAAAATTGTCAGACTCAGCAGAAGTTTTTGATCTACACACAAGAGAAAACTTCTACAGAAAGCTACTGCAACACGCAGACACAGCCTGCTGTTGGATGCAACAGATTCAGTGCTTCCTAGGTTACAGCCTAGAATGACAAGAAGGAAGAGAATGGGGGTAATGACAGGGCAGAAGAAGAAAGAATTTTGTTTAGACTATGGTAAGTTGATGACAAGAAAGCCAGTAAGATCCATCACAGTCCAGCTTCATGCTAATTCGTAATAAACAACTGTCTACAGTACAAAGCAGCACTCATTTGGGTTAAGCCAGTAAACTGCCAAATTGTTTCCCAGAAGATACTTGGATGCCAACAGCAGGGACATTAGAAATCCAGCCTGGTGTCTCCACAGATAACAGTGGACACTTCCGTGACACTTGTATATTCACTGGAACCGCAATTCTGGTACCACAAAAATCTTCATTTATGTATTCTTTCAAGATCAAAACGGTCAAAAAGTAAGTGTATATTCATGATTCATCATACTTGAAGAACTACATTCACAAGGCCTTAAGTTCCATTCTCATTAGAAAAGCTCGAGTTTAATTCTGCTTATTCACTGCATGACAAGAAGTGGTTTGTGGGATGGTGACAAATACTTACCACATATGACGGTAGAGAGATGAGCCTTTGAAACAATTTGAGTTTCAGAAACATACTTCCACAGTGGTTTTACAGTCTGTACTACAAATCTACTTCAGTGTTTTTACAAAGAGGCAAACCAGCTTTTCAAACCCATCTTGTAGAATCCTACCATATTAAGAACAATTTAGTCCAATCAGTTCAGGAAACACAGATCTCTGACTTTCGCAGTCAATCTGTTTCATCTATTTAACACTTTAGAAAGCCTGTAAAGACACACTGCTTAATATCATAGAATGTTATTTGTAGATTAAATAAAATATTTATACTGTCTATTGAGATTTTAAGAACTTGCTTTAAAAGACTGAACCTAATTTAAGATACAAATTTTCTTGTGATTTCTTTCCAGGCTTCTTTTCAAGGAAAGCTCAACTAAGTGAAGCCCCGGTGAAGTCCTCAAATTGTCTCCTAAGCCTTTTCTGACATTTCCAATGGTCAAAGCATCAGTTAGTAAAACAGTGAAGTTTGCTTGAATCTCCTTTTGGACCATACCAGAGGAGCAGTATGTATCAGAGCATCAGACATCAGCTGCTAGAATACTCCACCATGGTTCATTTGCTGTGTGACAACAGGCAACAGCAACAGTCTTAGGAAGCTCTTCATGGCCAGCTGTGGTGTTATCCCACAACTCTGCTGCCAATCACACAAGAATATACTTTGTTTTGCAAAATTTGCTTAAGTGCATTAAGAAACACTCATAGAACTGAAAATTAAAGAAAAGCTTCCATAAAAGTTACCTTAAAAATCAAAGCATAAAATATTAGGACACACTTAAAAAAATTGTTGCATTAATGTACTCATTTCATAGAGTAAACCAGCTACGTCTATCATAATCGTGATATTGCATTGTTCTTACTAGCAGCAGAAGAACAACACACAAATTATGTTCAGCAGTGCTCTCATCCTAATAATTTAGATAAACATTACTAGGGCAGAATAAATTCCCTATTACTTTTGTACAGTGAGAAAAATGTAGCTGCAAGGAGCAATGTGAACCAAACTACCACAAAAATGTCAAAATACCTATCTTCTGATCATCTACGGCCAGATTACACAATCTGTACTCATACTATGAACACGGAGATGCCAAAAATGCCTCTGTCAAGTGACAGCTCAAGCACAGACTCTGATATATCACTGCTCAAATTGGGCTCTGACTGCTTTGGAACCAAAACTGCTTTGGTTCCAAAAGTATTTTAGGTTAAAGTCCCTGCAAACCCCACCGGAGTTTTCCTATACCACTTTCTTATCACCGAGGGCTCTGGGAAACACCAAGACAAGCTAATGCTAATAAACTCAGCTGGAGGATGGACTATTCCAAGTCAGCAGTGCCTCTGCAGCTCCAGGTTGCAATAACAAGGAATAAATTAACAGTGAGATGGGTTTCCTTTAGTCACCCTACTGGAACAAGAGCTTTGTGGGGAGAGTGGGGCACAGCACAGTTTAGCCCAAAGTTTCTAAGGAAGTCAAGTCCAGTTGGGCTGAATCAACACTAAACTGTCCCACACGGGATGTCACTGGTTACCTCATTCCCCTGTTAAGTAGCACAAATAATGCTGAGTTCAGTCTAGTTTCAGGTATCATACTTGCATTTAAGCCTCCCAACTATCTCTGTGGTTTATATATGCACATTAAATGCTCTGCATATATTGTTGCAAACACAGCATGAAAACATGAAAAGACCTACATGCAAGATAATGTCCAAAGAGTCTAAGCTGATAAATTAGTTATCACACTAGCACTTA